TCATGTAGTTTTACTACTTAAAAAAATGAAGTAGATCAGAAAATGTCAGAGTGTCAAACAAAGGAAAAGTAAGTATTGTTTTGTGAAACTCTTTTCAGTTTGTGTCTGTGTCCAGATCTGCATACATTCTGGGCAATTGGTCAAATGTAATTAGTCAGAATATCTTCAGAAATGCTCTTCTAACTGGTCTCACTGGGTCAGTCTGGTTTCTGCTTCCAAACCGTTGGAAGTCCAAAGTGCAGAGTAAGAATTGAGGACTGAACAGACCTGTCACTCTGCAGTTCGACTTAGGCTTTGGAGATTCTGAATAACTTGGTTTCAGCTCACCTTTCAGGTCTCAAAACTCTGCAACCACCTGCACTTTTACTTTTATTCAAACCATAAAGTTCCCTGACTTTGGCACAGAGTCCCTTCTATAGGGACTTTCTTTCCTCATCCAGGAAGATTTCTGGCCATCTAAATGCCTCTCCCGGGTTCGCATTAGAACACTACACTTTTTGGGCCTCCTTGGTGGCCTAGAGATTAAATGTCAATGCTATCACCTCTGTAGCCTGAGTTCAATCCCCGGCCAGGGAGCTAACCCACATAAGGCGCAGCAGACCTCTCCTTTCTCGCCCTCTGCTCCCCACACTTCCCCTCAGCAGTGTGTTTCAGTATATCTGCCTATTCTGCTCCCCATTCTGCCTCTGGTGAATCCTCTTGCCCCCTGCCTAGATCCCAGTTCTATGTGCAATAAATAAGTAAATAAATAAATAAAGGTAAAATCTTGTAAGCAGCAAAATAGGTTAAAAAAAAAAAAAAGAACACTACTTTTTAAAAAAAATATATTTATTTATTTATTTGTGCAAGAACCAGGGTACAGGCCAGAGGTGCGGGAGGGTAAGAGGATTCATCAGAGACAGAGTGGGGAACAGAACAAGCAGACTGACGAAATACACAGCTGAGGGGAGCAGCAGGCGAGACAGGAGAGGTCTGCTGCACCATGTGGGACATTTGCTGGTGGCCGGCTGGGATCGAACCCACACTGCAGAGGCTGTGGGACAGCTTCACAGTGTGGCGCTCTACCACCTGCGCCAACAGGGGAGCCCAGGAACACTACACTTTTTAGCTAACAGAGCACTTACTACCTAATAATCATCTTCTCAATTCCCTATTAGACTTGAAGCTCTACATGGACATCCAGTAAGTATTTGTTCACAATATACTAATAACCCAGTGGCCTCCCTGGTGGTGCAGGGGTTAAAGACACAGCGCTATCAAGCTATGGCTAGCCGCTGCAACACAAGTGCAGTCCCCGGCCAGGGAGCTAACCCACATGGTGCAGCAGACCTCTCTTGTCTCGTCCCTCAGCAGTGTATTTCAGTAGATCTGCCTGTTCTGCTTCCCACTATGTCTCTGGTGAGTCTTCACAACCCCTGCACATCTGGCCTACTCTCCAGCTCTTGTATGCATAAATAAATAAATAAAATAAATCTTTAGAAAAAAATATACTAATAAGCCAATCTGAATACTTATTTAAAGTATCTTCTGTTTCTCAGAGCTTTAGTTTTCACTCTTTCACATTTTAATATTTCCTGTTTATTTGTTTTTCAAACACAATCTAATTTCCAAATTAACTGAATTCCTCTTAAAGTCAAAATAATAAAACTTGGAGACAGCTGCTGGACTTCTAGGCTGCTCACTTGCTCTGATACTCAGCTCCCTCACAGGCAAGAGGGGCAGAACTCCTATCTCCAAGAGCTCTTCCAGTCTGCCATTCTGAACCTCTGGCTTGAACTTTTCCCTTGTAAGGACCAGAGTGGTTAAGTGACTTTCCCACGGTCAAACGGTCTTTTAGTGGCAGAATGGTCTATCCCTTTCTATAGCTATGTAACAGACCAGGCAGCACATAACAAGAAAACCACTTTACCTGGAACCCATTATTGCTACTAGTAAGTTTGTGTAAAAGAGAATCATAAGATTAAAGGGTGACTTCAAAACAAAATCTAACAACATCCATAATGAGTTCCTGCCTAGGCAGGCCCCAGCATTTTACAAGTCTTGTCATTGTTTGCTATTAGAGAGATATTTAGACTTCCTTTTTAAAATTGGAAGTGGAAAGTTCAAGAATTTTATAAATTCTGACCTTTTGCAGTGGCCCTTCTGAGGAGCATAGTGGCAGACCCAGTCTTCCTGAAGATGCCTCTTAGAGCGTCCCTATGCCTCCCTCACTGCTGAGGCCTAGGCGACAATGACCTTTCCTCACCGGGATCTGGCTCCAGTTCTCACAACCCTGCCCACAGGCGTCCCCTGCCAGACCACACTGAAGACTTCCTTGCTCTCAAGGACTGGCTGGAGCTACTAACCTACCTTACCCAGAGTTTGGGTTAAGATAACCTGTTCTACAAAGTAAATAGTCATCAAACAGAAATACACCCCTTTGGGGAAAAAAAGAAACCACAGCCTTGCCACTTACTTTTTCCCCTAATGTGGTATGTTGTACTCTATAATTTATGAGCCCAAGTATGCATTTGCTTTATTTGTTGCTATTCCCCCTCTAAACGGACCAGCAGTAGCTTGCTTTTGTTTGATAGAAGACTATGGTAAGAACCTAATATTGATATGTATTTATAACAAAGAAATCAAGTCACTACTGCCACGTTATAAAACTTCTATGCACATAAGGACTTGCTTTGACCTTAGTTGGTGATAACCAAGCAATTGGCTTATATGGATGATTTTTACATCATTCTCTAGGTTTCTTTGAATTTTCCAATTAAAAAATAGAACATGAATTACTGTTGTATTTCTAAAAATATACAAATGTCAGAATTAAAATTGGATATGGTGTATCTTCACTCACTTTCTCATTTTATTTTTATATATATGTTGTCATGTATTTTATGTTATTAGGGAAAGTTTATATGATTGCCACATTTCAAAAGAGAATAATGAAAAACTGTTAACAATGTTTGATATTTAGCTGTCTTTAGACTCTTATTTTTTAAAGATTTATTTTTTTATTTATGCATAGAAAAACTGGGGTGTAGGCCAGACATGCAGTGGGAGGTGGGGTGAGAGGATTCACCAGAGACAGAGCCGGGAACAGAACAGGCAGATCGACTGAAATGCACTGCTAAGGGGAGCAGCAGGTGAGACAGGAGAGGTCTGCTGCATCATGTGGGAAGCTCCCTGGCTGCAGTGGCTGCTTATAGCTTGATAGCACTGAATTTTTAATCCCTGTATCACCAGGGAGACCCTGTCTTTAGAATCTTAAGGAACATTGATGCCAAAACATAGCCCAACAGTGGCATATATCTAACTCCTTTACTCTGGCTGTGGATCTTTTGTTAGCCTCTCCTGACATTCTTATTCTTACCTACTTAGCATTTACAGGATGGGCCATCTTTTTTTTTTTTTTTTAAAAAGATATATTTATGTATACAAGCACTGGGTACAGTCAGAAGTACAGGAGGGTGAGAGGATTCGCGAGAGCCAGAGTGGGGAACAGAACACACAGACAAGTACACTGCTGAGGGGAGCAGTGGGCAGCAGGAGAGGTCTGCGCGCCATGTGGGACCCTCAATGGCGCCCGGGGATCGAACCCGTCTGCTGCAGAGGCTCACAACCCAGCGCTCAACTGCTGAGCCACCGGGGAGGCATGGACCATCTTTTTAAATGCCTTTATGCCTGCAGTAAACATTGTTTTCTAACCACCCTTCTTGCCAGTGGCACCACAAATGCTGTTGACTTTTCCAAGTAGCCATGACTTTAATGGAGGTGGTCTGCTCCCTACATTTGCAGGCTTTTGCAGGCTTTTTTTTTGGTCTACAAGACAAAAGGATGAGAAGGGCATTTATTTGCTGGGACTGCTTCTGGGAGTTTCTCTCCCTATTTAAAGTGACTCAAGACAGGAACATCCCTTTCCTCTCTCAATTTTGACATTAACAAAAGTTACACTGAACTGAGGCTGCCATCTGGGGACCACGAGGAGCATTTGCCAGATAAGACAAGCTCACACTGGGGATGACAGTTTTAAAAATGGCAACAATCTATTTTTGATAAATTCATTGACTGCCCTATCATTAGACTTCCTATTATTTGAGAAATGTATTTACTGTCTAAGTCACTTTGAATTTATTGTTAAAATTTTATTTATCTGCTTGTTTGGGCTTGCATTTTTGCAATGACTTTATATATGCTATGACTTTATATATAACTTTGTATATGCTGTATCCTTCCCTGCTTGGAAAACTCTGGTACATTGAAGATGCACTTCATCTTTGTTCTACCAGCACCTCCTATGTTGCTTCTTGTAGAATGCATCACACTTAGCTTTTAGAGTCCTATTCCAGTGCTCTCAGATGAAAGCAGAGGTAAATTAGTGATCAGGTAAAACTTTGTTTACTCCTTTATTTTCTTGTTGAATTAAATGATTCTGCTTGGCAAATTGTAATATATCACCAGACTAAGTTGTCTTTATTTCAGAGACATTCTCAACCTCCCTGGCCCAGCTTTCCTCAGTGGCAACTGCAAAAATCAGAGTTCAGAAACTGATCTGGGGCCTCCCTGGTGGCACAGCGGTTAAAGACACAGCACTATCAGGCTATGGCCAGCCATTGCAACACGAGTTAGATCCCAGGCTGGTCAGGGAACTAACCCACATGGTGCAGCAGACCTCTCCTGCCTCACCCGCTGCTCCCCTCAGCACTATATTTCAGTAGATCCGCCTGTTCTGCTCCCCACTCTGTCTCTGGTGAATCCTCTCACCCCCTCACCTCTGACCTACACCTCAGCTCTTAAATGCATAAATAAATCTTTAAAAAAAAAATAAGAAAACCTGACCTGTTGAATACAGGTGACATGACATTAGACCATTCAACTATTATCCCTAGAGTCCTCATCTATTGAGTTAGGGTAATGACATCAAAGCTCTCATAGTGTAATGACACCAATGAAGATGCTAATAAATGTGACATATTGAGAATAGGCTCTTCTCTTTTTCCTTCCTGCCTTATTAGACACATCAAATTTCAAATATTGCCTCGAATTCACAATAACCAAGACATGGAAACAACCTAATGCACATCGATGGATGATTGGATAAAGAAGTTGTGGTCTGTATAATCAATGGAATAATACTCAACTATTAAAAAAATGAAAGTTTTTTTTTTGTGGCAATATGGATGGAATTTGAGGTAAGTATGCCAAGCAAAATAAGCCAGAAAATAAAAAAAGGAGTAGATGTTTTCCCTCATGTGGGATATAAATAAACAAAACAAATGAACTTTGCATACGAAATACAACAAAAATAACTCAGGCTCTGCGGAAAAATATGGTGGTTACCAGAGGGGATGGGGGTGGGCAGGGTGGGCGGAATGGGTAAAAGAGGCCAGTGCGATGACGAGCGACACTAAAACTGTGGTGTGGTGTATACACATGTTGAGGTGTGAGGCTGTATCCTCCAAACTTATGTAGTATAGTAAACCAACAGTAAATAAATGCAAATGTTACTAAAAAATGATAAAACTAAATATTACAAAACCATATTAAAAATTCCCTGAGGGATGCCTCCCTGGTGGCGCAAGGGGTTAAGTCTCAGCACTATGAAGCTATCACCAGCCACTGAGGCACAAGTTTGAGCCCCAGCCAGGGAGGTGACCCACATGGCGCAGCAGACCTCTCCTGACTCGCACGCTGCTCCCCTCCCCTGGTGAATATTCTCACCTCCCGCACCTCTGGTCTACACCCCAGTTCTTGAATGCATAAATAAATCAAAAACAAATCTTTAGAAAAAAAAAAAAGAGCTTGAAAGATAGGTCTCCCCAGTGCTTAAAACAGGCTTTCCCAAGAAATTTTGGCATGTGGATTATTTTGAATTAAGGTCAACAGAGGCCTTACAAACTCAAGAGAAACTTGTACCACCCTCTTAACTCCCTAGAAGAATGAAAATTGGAGAATTGGGGTTTAGGCTGTCTGCAGCCACTGCAGCATGAGTTGGATCCCTGGCCAGGGAGCTACCCACATGTTGCAGCAGACCTCTCCTGACTCACCCACTGCTCCCCTCAGCAGTGTATGTCAGTAGATCTGCCTGTTTTGCTCCCCACTCTGTCTCTGGTGAATCCTCTTGCCTCCCACACCTCTGGCCTATACCCCAGCTCTGCTATATATAAATAAATAAATCTTTAAAAAAAAAAGAGCATGTGGTCTTTTTGTCATGTGAGAGTCTTTCCTCCTGAAGCCTCAGTCCCATTCTTTAGCCTCATATAAGTGTCCTCATTTGCCCCATTTACTTTAGAATTTACATATATGTAGATTCTCCATATACATGTAATTAAATTTGTTCTTAATCTAATTGATGTCAATTTGGTTGCTTGATTAGTGAGAGAACCAGAGGGATATGTGGGTGGGTGGGGGGTTTCTCTGCCCCTCTATGCTCAGTAAATAAAATAACTAGTAATAACAGCATTGTCAACAATTCCATAAAAGAAATCCCTTCATTTTGTCTTAGCAGCTACGAAGCCATATATACCTGGGGTCCTGTGCAGAAGGCCTTCTAAACTCTGAAGCCACAGTTCTACATGAAGGTGTAAAATGATGCCTGTCAGTAGCCATTGCAACCAAATATCACAATTATTCAGTCTTGTGTCAGGTAAGGTGGTAGTTGATGAAGCTAACTGAATCTCAGACTAAAACTGCTGCTCGTTGTATTCGCTGTGGTGCTCCTTTTACAGAGAGAGACTCAAAATTCTGATTTCATGTGACCTTTAAATTCAAAGTTTCTGTCATACAAGTACATCTGAAACAATGACCATCTCAGACACATTTTCATTTTTAGTTATTCCTTGGGATAAAAATCAGCAAAATAACCAAAGCTGTTCTACTACATATGCCTTGAAGTCTGCATTTTAGTTCATTTCTCTATCACTAACATAAGAGGGATTCGATTAGGAAGGGGGGCCTCCCTGGTGGCACAAGGGTTTGGGATGCAGCACTGTGAAACTGTCCGCAGCCACTGCAGCACGAGTTCAATCCCTGGCCAAGGAGGTGGCCTACATGGCACAGCAGACCTCTCATGTCTCCCCTCAGTGGTGTATTTTGGGCAGTCCGCCTGTTCTGCTCCTTGCTCTGTCTCTGGTGTATCTTCTCACCCCTCACACCTCTGGCCTGTACCCCAGTTCTTGTCTGCATAAATAAATCTTAAAAAAAAAAAAAAAACAGATTAGGAAGCATATATAGTTGAAAAAAAATTTTTGAGCTTATACAAAATGTGCACAGCACTTTATTTTATATGTGATATCAATATAAAATAAACAAATGTTTTCAAAGGAAAATGGGCTGGCCCTTTGGAGAAAGGCTTCCTCTTTGAGAAGACTTTGAGGAAACAAAGATGGTTGTAAGGGCCCAGGACCAAGCACACTTAGCAAGTATACATTTGTGAATGGGTCTTCAAAAGTCCTTCAGATTACAGGTCTGTAAGTCTATGCAGAATGTAGTACTTAACTATTCTCTGCTTTGTTTCCTAACAGTAGGTAGAATGGGAGAGTGACTAAGATGGGTAGCCTGTGCAAGAGCTCTTTGTAAACTGCAAAGTTTCTTGCAGTTGTTTCAGTTGGGTCTGCAAAAGCACTAATAGTAATAGTTGTTGAGAACCAACTGTAATTTTTCCTAATCACAGTTCTTCCTAGAGTAGTATAAATTGAGTTGGTCTTTGGCTGACATTGAATAGGGGCTCAGGGAATACCAGAAAATGCTTTATGAAATTGCAGATTTAGGCAAAACAGGTGGGGAAATGATGAAAAAACTGATAGCTGCAAAGGGAATGTTCTTTAATCCTCAGACTGCAGGCTTCCCAGCTGCCACCCTCCCCCCCAAACACTTGTAATATGTGATATAGAAATATCATGGTGGTAAATAACTGCAATTAATAGGAACAAAGCTTTGGGTGAAGCTAAGGGGATTTTCAAAGTGATTGGAATCAAACAACTGGAGTGTTGTGAGAAAATAGTTTTGAAAGAAGAGTTGATGATTTGGATAGGTTTTGAGAAAATACGTAGAAAACTTAGGACTGGAAGGTCTAATGTTACCATAGCAAATGCCATGGGGTCTCTATTTTCTTAAGCAGAAAAGCTTGCTGCTATAGAGAAAGAGTTCAGAGAGCTGAATAAATAGGCTCAGTATGCCCATTTGGATTTGGAGCAGGGAGGAAAGCTGGGTCACAAAAAGTTAATCTCTCTGGGAGTTGTTGGAGGATTGGCCTTGGAAACATCCAGGGTGAGGAGAGAAAAAAATTCAAGGGAGATCCTGGCAGGTGGGAGGAGGCTGGAGTGGAGATAGCAAGCCTGGGCAATAAGGGGAAGGGAGGCCAAGAAAGCAGTTTTCATTGCTTTGAAGCAGAAGCAGCCCTGAGCACAGCTCTGAAGTAGATAAAGTTTCTTGAGTTTTTCTCTCCAAAGGCAACAGGAGATCTGATACCATTCCTGCCTTCCCCGCTCAGTCCCAAATTGGTCAGAATCTTTCTCATTTCTTTAGATTCTTGCTTCTGAATAGGTGAAAAATCTAGCTAGCCTGATAAAGGAATGCACGAGGAAAATCAGACATTTTAAAAAGAATTTTTATAAACATTTCTCAAGAGTAAGGAATATGCATTTTCAAGGAGAGGGCCTCGTCTCTATACATTCTACCTTAATTCCAAGAAGTGTCTAAAGCTGGGATTTTTCCAACAATGCAAATAGCCCTATGGTGGCCACAAACAGGTCCTTTTTGTGGCTCTCAAATCTTAATTAAGTCTGGAAATGTAACTTTACTTGTTTTAGGCATTGTGCTAAGTATATTTTCACACAGGATCATCATTCTGTTTTACTGATTGGGAGACAGATACAATTCAGAGAGACTGGTAACCTGCTGTGGCAGCCACATTTCCCAAAGGTGGATGCAACTGTATCTTCCATCCAGTATGTCCTTCTAGATCAGGAATGAGCAAACTTCTCTAAGAGCTATAAAGTAAATGCTTTAGGCTTTGACTTTGCAGTTGTTGTCCTAACCATTAAGCTCTGTACTGGGGCAAAGTCAGACACACTATGTGAATAAATGGGCATGGTGTCTTAGAGAGGTGGCCATAGTTTAACAAGCATGACTCCAGAACTTTCCATGAAGAGGTGGAGTTTGATCCCCTTCCCCTTGAGACTGGAGTGTGATTTGCTTGTGATGAGAGCATAAAGGAAGTGGCACTTCTGAGGCAAGATGGGAAAAGGTATGCCACTTTTGCCTCACTCCCTGGGCAGCTGTCTGTTGGGAGTCCTTAGTCACCATGTCAGTAATCCACTTGTCCCAAGGCTGCTGGGATGAGGACACCCACATCAGCTGTGTGTGTGACCTCTCCGGGAAGCCTTGAGGCTATCAGAGGGGAGTTACTCAGCTAGTATTGGGTTGTTCCTGTTCTCCAAGGACTGCAAACTTGGGAGGACTCTGAGCCCCAATTACCCAGCTGGAGTTCTTCCCAAATTCCTGCTCCATATAACTGAGAAGCAGTAAGATCATTACTGTTATTTAAAGGTGCTGTTTTGGGGGCCTCCCTAGTGGCTAAAGGGGTTAAGTCTCAGCACTATGAAGTAGTCCGCAGCCACTGAAGCATGAGTGTGATCCCCCGCCAGGGAGTTAATCCACATGGTGCAGCCCGCAGCTCCCCTTGTTTGGGGGAAAGGATGACCTGAGCAAACTCCATACAGGCTTTGTGGAGTCCGGCCCCAACTCCATCAAGACACTGGGAACTGCAAATCCCATGATCACCAAAGGGAAGTTTGCGAGGACCTGAGGGTGGAATTAAGCAACTATGTTCTCTGTTTGAGTATTTAACTCGCCATCTGGCCGGGGGTCGCCTTCTTGGCCACTTAGCGTGCTCGGTTTTTTGCCAGCCCAGCGGGTCATTGGGATTCCATGTCAGCAGAACGGGTAGGATGCATTTTCGAACTTATCTCCCTCTTTTTCTCCCTGAGTTATTCATTTCCCATTTCCCCTTCCCTTGTAAATAAACCTTTTATCAACCTTTTGTTATGTCTGCCGTTTAGCATTAATAAGTGCCCTTTAAGTGTGCGGGTGAGGACCCACAGTCAGGCAACACGTTTTATATCAGGGTTGCCATGGAACACCCTCAGCAGTGTATTTCAATCAATCTGCCGGTTCTGCTCCCCACTTCGTCTCTAGTGAATCCTCTTACCCCCACACCTCTGGCCTACACTCCAGCTCTTGTATGCATAAATAAATAAACCTTTAAAAAAATAAATAAAGGTGCTGTTCTGGGTGATTTATTGCACAGAAATAAATAGAACGTTGCCCCCAAACTCATGAGTGGCAGACATGGGATTTAAACCTAGTTTAGTCTGGCCCTCACCCCGTGTTTGTTCTATTACATGATCTCTTCCAACAGCTTTTAAAAAATGTGCTAAAAATATATATAACATACCATGATAACCACGTTTATTGCACAGTTCAGTGAACACATTTACATGGCTGTGCTACCAATCTCCAGAACGCTTTCATTTTGCAAATGAAACTCTACTCAGACAGTAACTCCCCATCCCTCCTCCCCCAGTTCCTGGCAGTCACCTACTTTGTGCCTCTATGATTTGCCTTCTTTAGGTCCCTTATGTAGGTGGAATCATAAGACTATTTGCTTTTTTGTGTGATTGGCTTATTTAATTTAGGTGTGTATTTATATTTTATATTTATATTATACATTTTAAGCGTATGTTGTAAGTGAATTTGACCAGCAAGTAGCAAAGCACTTAAAAAAAAAAAAGGCCAGATTCCAGGTCCTGTATGCCACAGACACAGCGGGATCTGGCAAGGACATTGTAACAGCAGCTACTCTAACAATTACTGTTCATAGAGTCCTGCCTCTAAAGGGCTTTGAAGAAAGAGGAACTCATGAATCAAGAATAAGATAAAGCTGTTTGGTTTGTTTCAACTTGTGGGCTGTTTGACTTCCCTCTTAGAGCCATGCCTAGAGAATGAAATCATTTTCTATCACCAGCCTTTTCAAAGAGCATCAAGCACATTCACTGTCTGCTCCTTTATTTCCTGTCTTCAGGGTATATATTGACTTGGTGGAATTTCTGTGACTAGCTGTGAGTTATGTATCAAGCAAACAACCTTTGGCAGGGAGTTGGCTCTGGGGAAAGCAAGCCTGAAATACTGCTTCTTGCTCACACAGACAAAGACTCAGACTGTGGGCACTTCTTGGACTTTCTCTGCTTTCTCTTATCTTTTACCTAAGACCAAAATGGCACCTCTAGGTCTCAGTGCACACTTTCAAGTCAGTGGCTTAGCTCAGTCATTTTCCTCGACATCCTAATTGTGCCTAGCCACTGGTTAAATAAGAGAGAAGGAAAGTGATCTTTCAAATCTTCTGTGGGTCTAGCCCATTTCTAGGGGCTGACCCCTTTCCAAGTCATGACTCTTAGTGCTTCAGAGTAATCATATTTGGAGGTAGAGTCCTTAAGGAGGGGATCAAATAGAGGTCACTAGGGTGGGCCCAAATCCAATATGACCATGGTCCTTACGAGAAGAGAGTGAGGTACCCTGGCAGATGACCACAGAGGAAGGATTGTGAGCATGCACAGAGATGATCTGCAAAGCAAGGATAGAATCTTCCGAAGAAACATCTGTCCACGCCTTTGATCTTGGACATGCAGTCTTCAGAATTGAGAACAAATTTCTGTTAAGCCATCCAGTCCTTGCCACTTTGTTAAGGCAGCCTTACTGAATTAATACACACAACCAACAGAAAGTTCACAGCGTTGTGGTGGGGGCTACGGCCCAGAAAAGTTCTAAAGGTAATAGTCAGAGATTCAAAGGCAAGAAAACCTTTTAATATATAGTTCCTCTTTCTGCATCTTTTACCAGCAGCCTGCTGGCAGGTTCTGAAGGTGGTGCTGTGGGCTGAGTCTGGGGGGTGACTGCTGACCTTCAGCAATGCCAGCCCCTTGGCTCACGAGGGGAGAGGAGAGTGTGGCGCTGGGTTCTAGAGTGTCTAGCAAGTAGAGGGAGATTGAATGGGCGTTTGGGGGCATGGTTTTAGCAGCTCATCTCCATGAAAGCATCACTGACCCCTTCTATGTTCTCTGGACACCAGAGACCTTCCTTCTCCTACTCCTCTTCCACCCTTAGACTTCTCCCACCACCCCCGCCTGCAAAACTCCCCCTTCTGCAAAAGTCTCCCCACCTCCACCCCCAAGACTTAACAGGGAGCGTCAGAAGAAGGGATTGTAGGGGCTCCCTACTGGTACAAGGGGTTAAGCACAGCACTATGAAGCTATCTGCAGCCTCTGCAGCATAAGTTGGATCCCTGGCCAGCCAGGGAGCAACCCACATGGTGCAGGAGACCTCTACTGTTTTGTCTGCTGCTCCCCTCAGCAGTGTATTTCAGTAGATCTGCCTGTTCTGCTTCCCACCATCTCTGGTGAATCCTCTCACCCCCTCACCTCTGGCCTGTACCCCAGCTCTTTTATGTATAAATAAATAAATCTTTAAAAAAGAAGAAGAGATTGTATGGTGCAGATCCTGATGCTATTTTTGGTTCACTTTTGTGGGAAGCAGCATGGAGACTAGGAGGGATAGCTGCTGAAACTGACGGAGGTGGTGGCATGGGCAGGGTGGGTAGACAGAATGATGAGCTCTAAAGATTCCTGCATCCTAATCTTCAGTATCTCCACATTTTTTTACTTTATATGGCAAAGGGGGCTTTCTGGATGTGATTAAGTTAAGGGTCTTAAAATGGGAATATTATCATGGATTATCTAGGTGGGTTCAATTGGAGTATGCCCAGTGAAATCACAAGGATTCTTTTTAATTTTTAAAGATTTATTTTATTTATTTATGAATGCAAGAACTGGGGTATAGGCCAGAGGTGCGGTGGGGGGTGGGGGTTAGAGGGGAGAGGGGAGTAGCAGGTGAGACAGGAGAGGTCTGCTTGCATCATGTGGGTTAGTTCCCTGGTGGGGGATCAAACTCTTGTCCCAGTGGGTGGTGATAGCTTCATAGTTCCTGAGACTTTAACCCCTGCACCACCAGGGGGCCCCTCACAAGGATTCTTGTAAGAGGAAGGCTGGAGAGTCAGAGTCAGAGAAAGTTGTGATTGTACAAGCAGAAGTGATTGTGGGGGTGGGGGGTGCGGAGAAGTTTGAGAACACTGCACCTCTGCTGGCTTGAAGCTGGGGAAAGGGCAAGAAGCCAGGAATACAGGCATCCTCTAGAAGCTGGAAAAGGGGAGGAGGAGCTAGAACCTCCATAACATGGCACAGCCCTGCCAACTCATTTCAGACTGCTGACCTTTGAAACTGTAAGATGATTTGTATTGTTTTAAGCCACTACATTTGTGTTGATTTGTTGCAGTGACAATAGGACAACAATACAGACTGTTAGGATACAAATCTTTGAGAATAGCTACCTAACATTTAAATAGGCAGTGATAAGTGCCCAGAAATTAAATAACAAAGTTAAAGCTTCCATCCTTTAAAATAGGGGTTCTCAAAGGATATTCCTCCAACTAGGTGCTATCAGCCCCTGGAACTTGTGTGTCAAATCTGTGTTTTAATGCCCTTCAAGAATTGTGCTGTATACTAAGGACCATCTTAAAAAGAAGTGGCTTGGATAGGGTCATCACTTCCAAAGATACAGGTGGACCCTGGGACTTGTCAGTGTTCCCAATGAAGCTATAATTCATCTCCCCAAGATGGGTGCTGCAGGGACAGCGTAGGAGGAGGGAGAGTGGAGAATTCAGTCTCCACTTATCCCCACAAGCCCCCAGTTCCTTCCCACAGCCTGTGTTTGTGGAGAGACTGACTGGAAATATGACCGGATGGCAAGACAGTGTCTGCACTCAATATGCTTGTCCTGCTCTGGACTGGCGGAAGGAAGGCATTGCCGCTCATCATTTCCCAAGTGCTTACCTGCTGGAGACAATCCTAAACTGGCTAGTGAAAGAAAAAGATACTTTTGAGAAGTGAGGTCATTCCTTCCAGTCACAGCTTAACGTTTTTTAGAATCACTTAGAGGGTGTTCCTGGTGGCGCAAGGGTTAAAGACACAGCACTACCAAGCTTTCACCAGCCACTGAAGCAGGATTCACGATTCACCCACCGATTCACCCACCGCTGCTCCCCTCAACAGTGTATTCTAGTAGATCTGCCTGTTCTGCTCCCCACTCTCTCTGGTGAATCCTCTCACCCCTCACATCTTTGGTCTACACCCTAGTTTTTGTATGCATAAATAAATAAATCTTTTTAAAAAAGCAGAATCACACACACACACAAAAAAAAGAATCACATAGACCCTGAAATCAGTACTGAAATCAGTACTGACTCTGCCTAATATTTGCTGGGTGATCAGGAGCTTAATCTCAGAGAGTTTCAGTGCCTTGCTATGTAAAGTGGGTGTGCTAATGTTCTTCTCCAGAGTTGTTGAGAGGTTAAGTGAGATTATGTATGTAAAGGTCTTGGTGCAGGACTTAGTATGAAGTAGGTACTTCATGCTACTGTTCCTTATTATAGTTAATGCTATTCATTGTAATTAATGGCTATTATTTATACCAGTCCTGATATTCATCTCCTAGTTCCAGGCTTCACAAATATAAGGAATCCAGTTCACAAATTCACCCATATAAGGGATTAAGTCCATTTTGAGTTCACAAACAACATCTCTCCTTGAGGTTCTTCAAAGCTCAGCAAAAGTAAATGCCCCTATAAAATGAGGGTGTTTCTTATGATACCCCAGCTTCTGGAACTCTGCACAGCAGCCTGTAGGCCCAGCATATGGTTATCCTCAGTGTGGATGTTCCCATTTTGCCCTCACTGCCTGCGTTCCTGTGGCCAGCCCAGCCAGGTCTGGTATTTTTCCCGCTCCTCTTCCTCTTCCTTGTGTCCCGCCTCCTGTCACCCAGACAGCTGCTGCCACATCCCGCTGCCTCAGAAAGGGAAGTAGGTGCATTTAGGACCTTTCCGGGTGAGTGACAGCCTTTGAGATGAGAATAATAAAATCCCACTGCCTAGGGGAAACCAGACCTTCCGCAATCACCCCTGCTTCACCTTTGTCGTGACACACATGATGACCTGACTGATGTTAGTCTGAGCCATCGGGTTCTGTCAGGCTCTTCTGGGAGGCATAGGCCTTGGTGCTGTGGGTGTGGGTGTGGGTCTGAGACACACTGGCTCTGAATGGACCTCACACAACTGGCTACTTTGTCCTTGGCTGTGCCACCGAGTCTGCAGGGCTGGGTGTGCGTCATGGGGGATGTGTCCCTGAGGCAGATGAGGTATTATTCCAGCTCCCCCGAGATGCTTCAGGGTTTTTCCCCAGCTACCACATGACAACCGGGCAAAAGCATTCCAGGAAACCAGAAGGGCTGGGTGAGCCTCTGGAATTTCAAAGCAAACAACTTGGAGCTCATTTTGGCTGCCTCATTTTCTCTGAGCTCTAGGGCACTATGGAGCAGGCTTGCTTACCTCCCAGATCCCACAAACTTTATGATTTTTCTTAGAAGGAAAGTTAAGACTTTTCTTAGAAGGGAAAAACCTATTTATTTTTCCTCTATAGAAACAGTTCTGTGTCTTAATTTTCATGTCCCCAAAGGTCATGATAAAGATTATTTACAAGAATAGGGGTAACCAACAGATGAAAAATACCCCACCCTCTTTTAATTCAACTCTGTTTTGTTTGTTATGTTTTACTAAAGGGAGTCTTGGTCCTGATGTCACCTCTGATTTAGGTTATGTACAGATTCAGTAGTGGACTGGATGTGTGTCTTCAAAATTCATATGTTGAAGCCCTAATTCCTCAACATGATGATGTTTGGAGGTGGGACCTTTGGGGTGTGATTAGGTTTAGATGAGGTCATGAGAATGGGGCCCTGATGGTGGGATTAGTGTCCTTATAAGAAAAGACACCAGTGAGATCTTTCTCTTTCTCCCTCTCTCCCCCTCCCTCCTCATGTAGAAAGGGCCATGTGAGGACACAGGGACAAGTGCTGTTTCCAACCCAAAAGGTGAGTTCTACCAGACACTGATCCTGCTGGCATTTTGATCTTGGACTTTCAGAGTCCAGAATGTGAGAAAATAAATGTAATAGCACCCCAGACAGATTAAGTACCTCAAGAAAAAAAACAATCTAAACTCCAAGAAACAGACCACAAAACCCCAGGCAGCTTGCTCCTCCTTCTGTTCTAAAAGACAAAATAATGGTCTTGCACAGATACTTCCAGAAACAAAGTCTACCCACCACACACAGAATATGCAAAAGGGAAGAACCAAAGAAATGACCCCTTGATCTGCCCAAGGCCTCCCTCCACCTTCTTCGGGTTCATAGTAGCAATCTCTGCCAGTGTACATGGTTCTTCATTCCTCTCTCCCAAACTGGCTCCACACCTTCCTTTATGGAAATTTAACTCCAGACATATGCCTAATGATTTTATGATGGTCAAATTTTGCAACTATTCAGAAGGTTATATAAGGAGTTGATCCATTCCACCTTTTAACTTTGGTGGTCAAGACCTATGTGTACTTGCACTGGAATTTCCTGTCATCACATCCTGTATGTGTCTGGGTGTGGGGTGTGTAGTGTTGAGGAGAGACGTTGAGGCCAAGCATGTTGCCATGGGGCCACTGGGAGGTGTAAAGTTTCTCAAGGTGACACGACTCCAATAATGCCCCAAATGAAACACAATCATGGGTTGAATTAGCAAATTATGTTCAGATTAGATCTAGGCAACTTCAAGAATTCACAATAGAAAATAGTTTTCTTTGAAGCAGCTAAAGTGAAAGCACAATTTTAATTTTGAGGGACAGAATATCAGATAGTGGTTGCTTAGGTTTAGGGGCAGGGGTCTACAGTGACCAATTAGGGAGATAAAATTTAGATTGCGGGTGATGGCTGCACAACTCTGTGATTATACAGAAAAGAAACACTGCATTATATACTTTAAGTGGGCGAACTTTTTGATATGTGAATCATATCTCAATGAAGCTGTTAAAAATTTAGTCCTAGGGTCTCCCCGGTGGCGCAGTGGTTGAGCGCTGAGTTGTGAAGCTGCCCGTGGCCTCTGCAGCACCGGTTCGATCCCCGGCTGCTCCCCGGCCACCGGAGGAGGGTCCCACATGGCGCGCAGACCTCTCCTGCCGCCCGCTGCTCCCCTCAGCAGTGCACTTCGGTCCTTCTGCCTGCTCTGCTCCCCGCTCTGGCTCTGGTGAATTCTCTCACCCTCCTGTGCTTCTGACTGTACCCAGTGCTTGTATGTATGTATGTATAAATCAATCAATCAGTCAATCAATCAATCAATCAATCAATCTTTAAAAAAAAAAATTTAGTCCTAGGGCCTCCCCGGTGGCGCAGCGGTTGAGCGCTGGGTTGCGAAGCTGCCCGCAGCCTCTGCAGCACCGGTTCCATCCCCAGCTGCTCCCCGGCCACTGGAGGAGGGTCCCACATGGCACGCAGACCTCTCCTGCCGCCCACTGCTCCCCTCAGCAGTGTACTTCGGTCCTTCTGCCTGCTCTGCTCCCTGCTCTGGCTCTGGTGAATTCTCTCACCTTCCCGCGCTTCTGACTGTATCCAGTTCTTGTATAAATAAATAAATAAATAAATCTTTAAAAAAAAAAAAATTTAGTCCTGACATTGTTTGTGTCAAGAAGGAGTGGTCCCTCATGTCATCCCCATACTCCAAAGTCCTGAACAGCATCCAGCTGATTCTCCAATGGGTCCTTATCTCAGAATCTCATGGGGGAAAGAAAGTGGGGAGGCAGTAGTTTTTATAATTTGAAAAGGCATAGATTTTCCTGTAAATATACTATTTTGTGAAGGGTCATCCTTCTCTCTCTGTAATGTTGTTTTTTTTTTTTTAAGATTTATTTATTTATGCATATATGAGCTGGGGTACAGACTAGAGATGCGGGAGGTGAGATGATTCACCAGAGACAGAGTGTAGAACAAAACAGGCAGATTGACTGAAATACACTGTACCATGTGGGTTGCTCCCTGGCTGGCCAGGGGATCAAACTCATGCTGCAGAGGCTGCGGACAGCTTCCCAGTGCTGCACTCAACCGCCTGTGCCACCAGGGAGGCCTCTCATGTAATATTCTTAAAAGATAATTGCAAAGTGAACATACTGTAACCTTTGTCCAGACCATGATATAAAATGCTGTCAGTGCCCCAGAAACCCCAGTTCACATCCCCTTTACATCTTTTTCCCATTACACGCCCCAGAGGGAACCACTTTTTCAAATTTCCTAGTTATTTTAAAAATAGTTTCTTGCTCTCTAAATATCTTTTGAAACTTATCTTTATTCTTTTATTCTTAGTACATTTATTTGTGTTACAACAATTCTAATAATTTAACATTTAATTTCTTGGTGGGTCTGCTCTCTGCTTACTCTTGGTGCCTTGTTTCCTTGTGTTCCTTGTTATTTTTGACAGTGAGCACATCTGCTTTCCTTGGAAAATTATTTTTTTTTTTAAAAATAGTTTATTTTATATAATTCCTACATCATTTTTCATCTTTGCACAATGTGTGCATTTTCATTATGGTTATATTCCCCATACAATTGCACCCCCGGCCCCCCCCCTCCCCCCGCTTATTTTGACTCTAGTGCTTCCTCTCCCTGCCCCTCCCTCACCCCCCCTTGGAAAATTATTTTGTAAAGTATGTGTGGCCTGAAAATATATCTCTTTTCCTCTAGAGAATTATCATTTGAAATATTCATGCCTTGGTGTCCTTTGAACCATTCAAAGGTGAATTTGCATCGAGGATATGAAAGGAGTCCATGTATTGATTACAACTTCTCAGGAATGGGTAATTCCCTAACTTAGAACCAGCATGGGAGTTTTTCTTTGTGTATATATGTTTTGTTTTGTTTCCCAGGGGTAAGGAGATGTTCTCAGGGTCTGGTCACCTTCTGATTCATCCTTTCTAAAAAGGAATGGTCTTTGGGGGTACCAGTTTTATGGGATAGGGTTTTCCTATTAGTCTTCTCCTTGGGAAGGTTCTGGGCTTTAATGTCTGTCCACATCTTCCTACTGTGGGAGACCATCAAAACCTAAACTTATGGAGCTTCCCTGGTGGTGCATGGGGTTAAGACGCTACCTATGAAGCTCACTGCAGCCATTGCAGCATGTGTTCGATCCCTGGCCAGGGAGCAACCCACATAGCACAGCAGACCTCTCCTGCCTTGCCCGCTGCTCCCTTCAGCAGTGTATTTCAGTCAATCTGCCTGTTCTGTTCCCCTCTGTTTCTGGTGAATCCTCTCACCAGCCACCACCCCCCGCCACCCCCCCCTTCTGGCCTGTACCCCAGCTATTGTATGCATAAATAAATATATCTTAAAAACAAACAAACAAACAAAAGAAAACCTAAACTTATGGGCCTCCTCGGTGGCTTAGGGGTTAAGTCTCAACTCTATCGCCACAATGACCCCCCTCTTTGGCGTGGCTATCTCAGGCCAGGGAGGTAACCCACATAGTGCAGCAGACCTGTCCTGTCTTGCCTACTGCTCCCCTCAGCAGTGTGTTTTAGTAAATCCATCTGTTCTGCTCCCCACTGTGTCTCTAGTGAATCCTCTCACCCCCTGAACCTCAGACCTATACCCCAGCTCTTGTATACATAAAAAAGTATGAAAAAACACTAAGTGAATGTAGCAACATAATCGATTTTGCTAGATGCTTAAGTCATAATGTATGTTTTCCCAACTTAAAGTGTCAAGGGTTCCACAAAACTGTTGTATCTATAGCTGTGACAATATGTAGATGTCATCATCATTGTTGAATACTAAATGCTCATCAGAGCAACAGCAAATTTACAGTTAATTTTCATGGGTGTCATATATAATTTTAGAGAGTATGAGTTGCAGATTCACAAATCCAAACCATAACGATTTCAACAGTTGTCTGAGTTATGGTGCATTCCAAAATTAACAGTAAGGTCAAACTACAATTTTAGATTAAAAATATAAAGACCATTTTCTAGTCTGGGAAATAATAGAAGTGACTTTGAGATCACTATTGAATTGGTTTCAAAGGCTGCTAATTAGACCACTATCCTTAAAAGCTGTCTTCTGGTGGCAGCTTTAAAGAATTGGTTACTCTTTTAAGTAAGGGCTTTGTTTTCATTGAAACTTTTCAGTAGATCGCTAAAAATAATAAAAGCACATAAACGTTGAAACTTGTGCTCTTCAAAAAAGAAAGAAAATACAACAGTGACTACAATGGACAGCTTTTCCTTTACAGTTTTCCTTTGCTATGCACAATTCTGTTTCCACCGTGGGTGGTGAAGGGCAGGCTAGGTGCTTGGATGCAAGCCGTCTTGGGGTTATGCTAATTTGTTGCTAGGTGCTCAAGGCTGCTTATTCAGTACAAGTTTCAAAGATTTATAGAAGGCTGCTCTCTGCCTAGCTGTAGCAGTAGTCACTACTCCTATTCAAAAGCCTTCATGTTCTGGATCGGTGTTGACAAATGGCACACTCTGGAACACTGTAAACAGTTAAACTACTCTGTAATAAAACATTACTGACACCAGTCTTTCTTTGATTTGTTGAACTAGCCTGAAAATCTTTCCTACCTGCCCCCCAGGACTGGAAAAGCAGGTTAGGAGACCCTCCCATCTGACAAGAACACTCCAAATTGGGGGTGTGATTAGCTCTTGGCACTGTTCAGTTCGACAGCTGCTCTCCTCTCCAGAGATGTGATGGGGCCTGGCTAGGTGATAGGAAACTCTATCCTATATCAGGGCTGCTTCCCTCTAATTCCTCTCAAAGAGGAGAAGAAAAGGTTCATTTTGTTTGCTAGTCTACAGCTTTGCCACAGAGGGAACTGACTTCCAGTGGTGCGCCAGAATGTAATCCTTGTGAAAGTGACCATTTGCTTGCTAAATCCTCACACACTGGGTAAAGGGAAGGCTGCAGGAAGGTTGGGGAAGTCATTAGGGAAAAAAGAAAGATAATGAAAAGAAAAATAATTTAAAGAGCATCTACTGTAATCCATACATGGTGTTAAGTGCTATA